GGTGAGCAAAGATGGTTGATCACAGTCATGCTTGTTACTTAGCATTGCACTGTTTTAAAATGTATTAACCAATATTCATATTAATGAATATGAATATTGAAAGCTCTATTTTTGTAATTTTTGTAATTCAAGCAAATATTTATTTATAAATTTTGGGGGATCTGGAACGTGTGAAAAAGTTAGTCACTGTAGAAAATGCCATAGAAACCAAGCTATGCAGTCAGGAAAAGTATGTTTCCTTAATTTTTCATAATAAACTCTCCAAAGTTATGATAGACTCTGTCAGTGTGTAATTTTGTTGTGGCCAGTCATAAATGACAAAACACACTCCTGTCCTAGAGCACCAACTTCCTGCAACCTTTGAATGCATCCCAACACGACTACAGACAGAGCAGAAGGTCATTTGAGTCTAAGGTCTATAACATTTCCAAAGTTTTGGAAATAAAATTAATAAGAAATGCCATGGGTCGTAGAAAAGTGTGGGAGTATCAAACAATTTTCCTCACTTTAGATAATTTGAAACATCTGCTAATTTGCTGAACAATTTAATTTTGAGGATCATTTGTCTTAATGGCAGGATTTTAGGTTGCGGTGGACCCAAACAAAGAAAACATTCTGGCAAAAACAAGGAACTTAGAAAACTCACATGAGGAGGAAAGTACATAGACCTAATAAATGTAACAAAGAAAATCTGCTCTGAATGGCTGGAACCAAGAAACCTTGATCAAAATGTGGAGAGTGAAACCAGGTGAGCTTAATCAGAGGAAACCATAACAGCTGTGGAAGAGTGTGAATCAGAGAGACAGTGGAAACAAACACAGAAAACACACCAGGACCTAAACTGAAACACAGATCTACAAAACAAAAAGAGGACAAGTCTTCAAACCCCTGTGGATCTTGACTGTTTGGTGGAGATGTAACGGTACCATGTCCTTGTAAGACTCTGTCTGTTGAGCTCTGTGATATATTTGGATCTAGACTGGAGAATACATCACACTGGGTGATGAGTGCTATGTCGACTAGAAACATGTCTAGAGTTCAGTTTCATTACAATCACAGTTAGATCTCTGCATTTTTTACAAAAAAAATTACCTTAAAAATTTTATCAAGTTTTCAGTGAATCAAAGACATTAAGATTTAACAGCTTAATCATTTTATTATTCCGCTGTAGTGCGTTTGTAAGATTATACACCAAAGTGAATATACCACACACTGTGAAGTCCATCAGGAAAGCTTTCCCTAGGAGTTTTCAAAAATAGACACTCAGTAATCAGTTTGACATTAAGACCTTTCAGCACCACAGTCGTGCCAGAATCTTTAGCCTCATCGTCCAGCCAAGTCACACTCTCAATGATCATGCAAGCACAAACCGCCGGATCATTTTTAGATCTCAGAACTGGCATGAAACACTGAGACTTGATAACCATCATTAAAGGAATCACTTTTTTTCTTTCATTTATATTTTGTAAAGGTCACAGCTGCACTGAGAGAATGACACAACCAGGAAATAACGTAGATGGGCGTAGTTTTAGCCTACGCCTTGTTTCTCTGCCAATAAATAGCAATCTAATATCCTGACTGTGCTTCTCACAATGAGAATGTGGGGAAAGGCTACCATGTAATGTGTTTGCCAGAAAATATCTGATCTTTAGCAAACGTGTTGAAAAGAGAAAAACAGTAGAAGTGGGAGTAAGGTCAAAGAAAGGTCATCTGCAACAGCTGAATGTTAAACTGCTGCCAACTTAGAATAAAATGTAAGGAGGTGAAGACAAAAACATAGAAGAGTTTTCTTCTGCAAAAAACTATATAAGCTCAAAATAAACTTAAAAATAAAACACCTCCTTTAACACCTTGTTGAATGTTATTTTCAGAAGGTCCTGAAAGCATGTCTAATTTAAATAACTTGACTTTATGTCATAATTCCATGTCGGAATGAGAACCAAAAAAGGATGAAATCTTGTAACTGTTATCTCTTCATTGCTCCAAGTTCTCTTCCTTCATCACTTCCACAGAGAGAAAACACCGTTGCAAATAGACTGGCTAAGGTTGCACTATAAAGACTGACATGTTTGGTATCTTCATTGCTATCTCACCAATGCAATAAATATAAAAAGACACAGATGAGGAATTAACTAACAAACAGTCCCAGAAGTTGACCCAATAGACATCCAAATCAACTTAAAGAGTGCGTTTAAGCCACCTTCAGGATGAAATGTCATAATTCTAGACTTTAATATTTGGCCTTCTAGCTCTGACCCCATGTCCGTTACAGCTTCACCCAGCAGCTCCTAAATCTTTTCAGCAACCAGTCATGAAGTTCAGCTGCTCCTGGTTTGACCCATCAACGACTTCCTGATCTTGCAGAGTCACAAGCTGGGGGCCTTTGAAGTAGCCTGAGCCAGGAATTTCTCCTTATGCACAAGAATCCATACAATTTCAGTAACGTTTAATGGATTTTAGGAAAATCGACCAACACAAAGCAGTTTCATTGGATAAATAAATTTGAAAATGTGGCATCCATTTTTATTCGTTCCTCAAGATAACCACTGTATAGATCCTCCTCTCACTGCAGCTGTGGATTTTTTGGGGGATTTCTCTTACAGGTTTGTACCCTTACATGAATTTTATGCCAATTCTTCTTTACAAAATAGTTAAAACTCAGACTTGATGAAGCGTATATACAATTAATAGTTTTAACTCATCTAATCTAAATCTAATCTTTAACCATAAAAAAAAACAGTTTTTGGTCTGAACTATTCAGTTTCAGCTCTAGTTTTATGTTTAGCATCATTATAAGAAACTGCTGCTAATAAGAGCTCTCTGGAAGAGGAACCAGAGAGCTGCAGTGGTGCTGCGAGTAAGAAAAGTCTGTCTGTAATTCAAACTAGACTTTTAATAATCAATCAAAATGACAAATGAGGCGGCTTGGAGGGAGGTGTTGGATGTGTGACAGCATGCGTGGGCCGAGCCACGATCAGAACAGCACCGAGGTCCAGACATACAGTTCCTGTCAGACATTCATATCCACTCATCCAGTCATAACTGATATAGGAAATTTATTTGAATTAGTCTTTTTCAAGGGTGAAATGATACAACCAACAGCTTTAATAATTGTCTGTATGTTTGAATTTAAATCAGATTTTCTCTGATTTATGCAAACTTAAAATACAGTCATTGAATGGTTTGGATATTATTGAGAAGTTTTTGGGTTTTTTTGGCTAAATTATCTAAATGAAAAATATGATGTACTCTTATATAAATGAATTACTTAATGTAGGGATGTTTTCAAGTCTTCATTTCTGTTAATTATTATGATTTCCTGCTTATAGATAATAAAACATTTATTATTGGAGCATTACATCAGACCAATAAAGAATGTTTTAATACAGAATTTTGTGCTTCAAAAAAGTATGTTTAATGTCTAATTTAAGGTTAAATTTATAGGTGCTTTTAATCTAACAAAATAACCTTCACTTGAAGACAATCTAATTTATTGAATATGGCTGTATATGCATAAATTGCCTGTAATATTAGGTTAAATGTTTGGCAACTTAGACCTCGACCAAACTGTTTTATATCCGTCAACAAGTTTCTTGTGACCAGATTTCTGAACATATTTCCTTTAAGAAGAGCTGATGAATTTTCCTTTCACACATCAGGTCTGAAGCAAATTGCTCCATGTTGATTGGAGGCAACTCTCCAGTAATAAGATACCACTGTCATAGTATATTCACCAATAAAATATGACACACTCTTAAATAATGCCAATGTGAAGAACTTTTCACTAAACCTTCTCAAACTGAGCTTTCCCATCATCTGACTACCAGGCTGATCACATTGAGACAATGATATTCCATATTTTGTAAACGAATACCAGGTTAGATGCAACCTGACATTTGAGTGTGTGATCTGAGTTGATCACACACTCTGAACCAGAGGAATCAAATTCCTGATGAATCTTTACGGATGCTCTCGCCGTCTGTCCAGCTGTCTGATGCTCTCTGTTTCTGTCTGTCAGCAGAGCTAAAAGCTGCAGCTCAGTGAAGTCATGTCCGAATGTCTCACAACATTTCTCACTTCTACTATGACTGTCTCCGTTTCCTCATTAACAAGCTTCTTAGAGTACATAGTGTTTATTGCCAGCTTGAGGCAGCCAGAACAGATAGGGGTGAATAATCTGAAGAATTTAAATGTAGGTATATATATCCTAGGATTTTTCATTCATAAAACCTTTCAGGCTATTTTGTCCCGCTTTAGCTTCAGGGTCATTCTGCATCTGTGATGTATTTAGAAGTTAGAGAAAATTAAAATATCAAGTATTTTTCACAGTTAAGGCAGAAAACAGAAAACACTGCAATCTGAAAAAACTGAAATATAAAAAAACAAGTACAGACCCTTTACATATAGATATAATAGTTAATAATTTATCTGTTACTACTTCACTTGTTAGGCCTTGTGAAGATCTTGGATCAGGAAAAGGGAAGCTAACAACTCTGCAGACTCTACACATCCTGGACACAAACTGTTAAGAGTTTAACCTCCAAGTTGTCACAGAAACAGTTTCTTCCACCACATTGTTTCACTTACCAAAGTTAATTTGATACATACTGGCAGTAATTCAGCCTTGTCTTCCTCTTTTTATAGTTTACATTTGAAATATCTTGACTGAGAGAAAAATGGAGTCAGAGTCAAGCTTCTCGTTTGGATGCATAAATTTCAAACTCAATTTTGCTGTATTGCATTGGTCTCCATAGTCACCGGATCTCCATCTAACAGCGTATAGATGGAGATTCGATAGAGAGGAACGATGGAGCCCTGTGATGTCACTCTTGCCCAGTAGAATTATTGCTGCATACAGGAAGTCATGAAAGCAAAAGGGGGTTCAACCCAATAGCAGCAAGGTGTTCCTAATAAAGTGGCAGGTCTGTGTGTCCCTATCACATATCAACGTAAAGGAGACGGGGTACAAAAATGTTAAAGAAAAGTACAAACTTCATCCATCCTTTTGAAGGTTTTATTGCCTCTCTCTCATTAAACTGGTCATAAATCAAGTCCAGCGAATTTACATCCAGAATGGAAGAAGCAATAAATGAAGGACATGATATTTGATCTGGCAATATGAGTAATGTAAACATAACACAAGACAACATAAACGAGTCAGTCCTATATTTCAATGCCAGTCAATTACAGTTTATGTGATCTGATCACAGCACATCTTCGATATCTATGCAGATAAGTTTAAATCACAGTCAATAATAAAATTCAAATAAATGAATGTAAACTTTGTTTAAATTAATAAGACTTTTAGAGCAAGAAGATCAACATTTCATCTGCTGCCATTGACACATTCAGAATGAAGCAACATAATCATTTTGTTTTTCCTCCAGTGCTCAGGCTTGTCCTCTCACATCTCCTGCAGCAAACAGCTCAGTTCATTCTAGGACATGTTGACACATCTGGTGAGTTTTAGGAATCCTGACTGGAAAATGTTTAATTTTCCAGACCACACCATCATTCCAGTTTTTATTCATGTCCAAGCTCACAGGAAACAGCTTCACCAAAAATAAAAACGCCTTCTGCAACAACTTCACACATTTGCAGTCCAGCCTTCAAGGTATTTCACTGTTAAAATCTTTTTTATGATAACTTTCCACACATCAGAGGGCATTGAAAAATTTACAAGTCCAATTGTGGAGCAATTATTTGTTTTATTGTGCAGCACAACATCAGCCCGCCAAGGCAAAAAAACTTGCATCTGAATCATATATTTTACTTTTAGTTCACTTTTTCTTTAAACTTATATTAATCAAAGCAGAAGGGATGTTTAAAAGGTGTAGCAGCACTGCTTCCTTTAAATTAAATTTCACAATTGAGTGACAGTGATGATATCGAAAGCATTAAATGCCAAAAGCAGAGCGACTTGACGACTTGACAATAACCACCACTGAAGAGCCTCCCTATGATTTCCTGAAGGATATTTTTTTCCTCTGAGTCAATATGTTCGCCAGATTACATGAGATTATGTATTCGTTTTGAGCAGCAGATGCACATAAGGTTATTCCATATTTTATTTAACTTATGTGCTTCTTTAAAATACAGAGTAAAGATGGAAAAAACACTTGGAAAGTGGATGGATGTAGAAAGGGGAACACTGTAAGACATTGACATATAATTTTACACTATATTACCATAAATTTATGGACCTAATAATCCCATATAAATACTGATGTATCTGTATGTCTATGAGGACATCTCCCCAATTTTGTTTTTCAAAAAATAAATAAATAAGAGCTAATCCTAACTGAATATAGACATATTCATATATTAGTGTTTTTCTGTTGCTCATTTTGCTTTTTGCATATTTTCAGCTATTTTAAAAGGACGCTTAGAATCTGTATTTGTTGACATTTTTGTTGACTTTTTGGTGCCAGCAGAGGGCGCTATCATACAGACAAAATGTAAATCCATCTCGGTCCAAAAAAAGAAAGCTCTGCCCAGAGGGACCCCTACAGGCGAATTGATGTAAACACATGAAGGAGTAACACCTGCCACATAGCCCTTACATATTGTTGCAGATGGCTCATATAATTTCATGGCTTTAAGTCATTAATGCTTCATTTGCTGTCAGCAGGATTTAAGGGGGAATACACACTTTGTCAGAACAATGGGGTTTGTGATCTCTGCTCTGAGGGTGATGGTGTGGGAGATACTCTCAGTGAGGGTCACAGGAAGCCATGGACACGAATGCAGCGAGATGAAACATTGCATCTGACGTGAGCAGCGACGGCTCAGAACTGGATCCAGTTTGTGGAGCTTTGAGTCGTTGATGGAGCAGGAACAGAACTGGAAGTCCAAAACACACAAGCTGATCAGTTTTTTTGTCTTTTTTTTCCAAACACCACAATAAAAGCAAACAGTTTTCTTTTTGAAGATTAAAAATACATAATCATAATTTGTGAAATTATGACAAGAATAGAATATAAAAATGAAATGACAAAATCATCAAATGTATTATTTTTATTTGTTGTATTATCAACGTATTGACACCCGGACAAAAAAAAAAAAGACCACTGAAAAATCATTTTAAAAACCCTCTTAACTTCATTTGTTGTGAAAAAAATGTGGCAAGATATTTGGCCATATTTATATATATGGCCAATAAATAAATACGTAAATAAATAGATAATAAGAATAAATCTCCAACACAGGAAAGTCATGGTCTACCTTGCTGGAGCTGAAAAGTCTCCCCAGAGTAGATCTGAGTTCTGATTGGACTGAACCACTGTGTTGGAGTTACTGCTGTCCAACTCCAAGAGGCAGCCTGAAAGAAACAAAAAATATGGAAATCATTTCATGCAGCTCACAGATGACACACTTTCTAAAATGTATTTCATGCAGCCGGAAGACAAATATTCTCTAATTAACATACTGACTGAGAAAATGGGTTACTCATGTAGGTTAAAGCTGCACAAGGTGCGATTTTTCCATGATTGCCAGCTCTGATGCACAGAGATTATTCATTTTTCCTTCAATTAGTTTTCATATGAGCTCATGTATACAATATAGTCGTGGTGCAGCTGTAGCACAGTGCTGCTAACCTGTAGTTATGCCAGCTGTCTGGGGAACTGTGTTGTGGTTTGATGAGACAGACGAAGGAGGTGGAGCGATCTTCCCTCCAGGTGGTGGCGGCAGGAGTCCAACCCCCGCTGAGCCTTGTGGACGGGGCTTATCCCTCTTTTTACCCTGCTGTTTGTGGAACAAAGAAAAGGCCAAGTTAAAGGCTGAAGAGAGAAAAGAAATGAGCATGTTTATGGTCAGAAATTTAATTTATTACTTTGCAAACTTTGCAAAAAAACAAAAAACAAAGTTGTCAAAACTGAGTTTGATCATCAGCAATGATATTAAATACAGTACCATAGCTGGTTTCACTGGTGTTTGTTTTCAAAACATTTTAACAATTAAAAGTTTTGACAAGGATCATATTTATTGTGTATCTTAGATGTATTTCTGTTACTGTTATACCTAATTTATCAATGGAACTGCATTAGTTTGTATTTTTAGTACCACTTTATGTTTTATTAAGGGTTTCCAGAAATAAGGCTTCAGCATTAGCTTAACTTTTTATAAAAATCAAGGAATCAAGGAAAATCCAGATATTCCCTTACTCCTATATTCAGTGTGATTGTCTGTCCCTCCTTAAAACCCAAATCCAGTTTTGGTCCTGAATCCCCGAGCTGGTTGCTTTTACTGATTTCACTCTCCTGTTTCACCCACCTACAAAGATCCAGAAACACAAAGAATTTTCACTTCGAATAAAAAAAACTGTGAAAACTTACATTATCAGATCATAAGGAAGTTTAGACAAAAATTTTATTCTTTAACATTTTTTTGAAGCTGAACATATATTTGCACATTGAACCTTCTTGCTTACTTGAAATGATCCTGCAGAGCGACGTTGAAATCAAAAGCGTCTCCTCGGTCCCCAAAGCCAACTCCTATGAAAGCACTGCGGCCTGCATGCAACAGATGATGTGTGAAAATGTGGATTTGTTTTCAGGTTTCAAATAGGAACCTGGGATAAAATGACCAACAATGCATTGCAAAAAGAATGTATAATCCCTGATCCATCCATCCATCCATCCATGACAAAATATATCTTTTTATTTTACAAACAAACAAAATCAAATGTATTTACCTAACATCTCGTTACTTCAAGATAAAATCCAATGCAATCAGGTGCCTTCAGAAGTCACCTAATTAATTAGACTCAAAATATCCAAAAGCTATAAAAATCTATTTATGAAACATAAAGAAGTCCTATGTTTGCATAAACCTTGTAAGGGAAACAACAAATGTGATTCGGTGAGACCAAAATGTGACTTTCTCTCCATTTTCAAATGCTGTTATTGGCAGAAATCCTGCAATAAAAACCTTTTGAAGAACAAAAAGAACAAAAACTTCAAATTGGAAAAACAACCCTAAACATGCAGCCCTGTCCTTCAATGTCACCAAGTTTCTCTACTTTGAATTGATAATACAAAAAAAATAATAAAAAATTAAATACCCAGAAGTTTGTGGTTGTAACATGACAAACTGGGAAAACCTTTAAGGGGTGTAAATACTTTTACGGGGCACAGTCAGTATCCTCACCGCTGTCATCCTGTATCCTCAGAACAAAATATCGGCTGGAATCACTGACAGTTTCCACAGCAACACCGGGGTACTCCTTCACAGGTGCCTGGGCAAACAGCTCCCCTGCAGCACCACAGGGCACATGTGTTAAAAACTGCAGAGGAATAATTGCTCCAGTTCATCTGCACAGCTTATTTGTTTCAAACTGTATAAGTGTCAAAAGCACATGCTTTCAATGACCGCAATGTAATGTGCATGGAGTTTGTGTGACCTTAACACAGTTGTGTTTCCATTCTCTGTGGAAATGTCAGCGTCAGCAGGAGTTCCACTACCCGAGGAGTCCGACTCAGAGCGACAGAAAACATCAAGTTAACAAGCTTCATATCCAACCTGAGACTTTGTCTTCTAGTTTGATGTATGCTACTGTTCCTCTGGCCGTTATTCTCATCCGACCGGACCAGTCCGGAGCGTCCAGCTTCCAGTCAGCAGCCCTGCAGACAAACGGTCGTGGTGCTCAGTCACAGAGCTGCAGGTCTGCTGGGATTATACAGTCTAACAGCATGATTATCCAGTTTTCCCCAAAAGTGCAGCGATAAAATGACTTAACTCAAGGCATTACTTTGCTCTGATGTATGAACTGTGAACATTTTTAATCTGAAAATATATTATAAACAATGAGCACCAAATAGAACTGAGCTTCATAAACATTTTACTTTCCTGAAAGATAAACAGAAAAAAAACAAACACACCCCACTTAAATTCTGGGACGTGTCTAGAGCTTCCAAAAGGCCCTCGACACCGGTGATTATTGTTATTTTTTAATTTTGGAGAAATGTAGAACAAACAAAAAAAAAAACATAAATATTAGCTACATGGTATGTGATTCTCTTCAATATAAAAAAAAGTTATATTTTTATTATACTTAACATTTCTGTTTAAATTCAGTCCAATTTCTTTATTTCAGGAGAGAAACTCCTGAAAATAAGTTCAGGGGTTTACTGTTATTCCTGCTGCTACATTCATCCGTTTCATCCAAGGTCCTTTTGATAGTGACAAATTATATATTTTTTAAATTACTTATGTTTTAATCTTATAAGTATTTAAACAATATTCTGCACTGTTATAATATTAGGTATCCTTGCTAGATTTTAAGGATCTGTCAAAAATTGACTGATTCTTCCCATATATAATGAGATTATTTATCTAAAAAAATAAAAATCATCTTGCCTCACAATCTTGTTGCACAGCAAAAATGAAATGTTGAAATTAGCACAGGTTCTGATAACACAAAAATCTTTTTCAGATTAAAAATGTTCCTCAGAACAGCCTGAGGCCCAAGTTTCAATTTCTGCCCTCAGGATCCTCACATGGGGATTCCGCCCATGCAGCGTGATGAACACGCAGCAATCTGAAGGTGATGATGAAAGGAAAACAGACTTTCGATTTAGTTTTCAAAGTGTTTCCCGGATCAGCAGTTCCAACAATCAGTTCCAACCTAAGCAGAGTATCAGGAACTGTCCTGGCAAACTGCCCGCATCGATCCAGGCAGCATGACGACAAACAACCCGAACCCTTTCACCGCACAGCGCGTCACGCAAGAAGCCAAACATGGAGCTCTCCCACAACTGGGACGTGTTTTAAACAGAAAATAAATAAAACTGAATTTCTACAGTTTCACTTGCATTAGAGGAACTCTGTGGCTTGGTGCACATGTGAATGTAGGACCACCAGTAAACCCCTTCCAGTAGTTCTGCCTTGACCTCGCAGGTGTTGGCTTACCTGTACGCGCGGTTCGAAGCACGAGGCGGGATGCGGTAAACATTGACATCTGGTTTAACGCACAGAATCGACTCGTACTCTCCCTCGGCCGCCATCTTATCCCGACTACTGATGTGGGAGGACCGTGGTCGTGAGTCATTTATTCAGCTCTTTTCTAACGGGTTCGTGAGTATGGCAAGACATGTTGTCATGAAATAATGAGCCCGGATCTTAAATTGCTATAATTCAGTTCTTCATTGGCCAGGTAAGAAGTTCAGCAATCCATTTGTGTTTTAGTTCATATCTGAAATAATCAAGAAGACTAAAACTGTCAAGTGCATGCTTTGTCTTTTCTAAGAAATTCAAATCATCTCAGCTTTATTTCCATTCCTAAACAAATAAACCATGTAGAAGAACAAGACTTGTTTTGTGTTGACTGAAGCTGCATTTAACATGTTCAAACCAGCGTACAATAACACAGTCAAATGACATATCCATTATATGTTACAATGGCCTGCCATAAAGACCTCTTTACTTCACCTCGGCGTTAAACAAGCTGGTGTCAATACTTTATGCTTACATTGTAGTTATGGAGTGAAGAAAGCAGGTTATACAAAGAATAAGTTAATAAATAAATAAATAAATAAATAAATAAATAAATAAATAGTAGGTAGCAGTTTTGGATGGGGAGCCACGTTGGGGGCGTGGACATCTGCGGAAGCGGAAACCGCAGCTTCGCGTCGTCTGCTCGAAGACATCTGACTATCTCTGGTCAGTCTTTTCTCAGATACGTCTTGTTTTATTTACAAAATATCCATACCATTTAGGACTGCTTTAAACTATCAGAAGTGCCTGTTTTTTGACATAAAAGAAGTCATTTGATTAGCATTTTGTTTTATATGTAACTAATTCCTGCAAACTTGACACCAACGGTCGACCGTTAGCCATGTTGACGGTAGCGCCTCGTCTTGAGTCGCTCTCCGAGGTGCTGAAATATGATTCTTCAATGTTATTCTTGCAAGGGCATCTGCGTGTAGCTGCTTTAGGTCAGAATTAACATCCTGCTTTATTATAATATGCCAGGGTTTTCCTTGTTTTTGTTCTTACACCCATGCTAACTAGCTTATAGCTTAGCAAAAACAGTTGGCAAACCTACAGTAGGTGAGGATCTGTTTGTCGCAGAAGGGAACAAGCTGAGATCTCCACCGGAGCCAGTTTACCGTCACTGTCATAATTATCTGCTCTATTCAAACGTTGGCGCAGCATCTTTTAATGTTGACTGGTTGCATCTCTGCAGCTGCTGGGATCTGGTTTCTGACTCCCTGATACAAAACCCAGTAAAGTCAGGAGGCAGCGAGAACAACAAGATGAAAGGTCATTGATCTACAACCTGCACGCAAGCAATTTAAGCTAACACTTCAGTAAAAGAGGCAGCATTTACTTAAGGTATCTGTCGTTATCCATTTATGTGTGATTAAATATGCCTGATATTGGATCTGTCCAGCATTGCTTGATGTTTTTTCCTGAACAGACTGTGGTGGTCGCATTCCCCACCTCTGCTGGTCAACATGACATCTTCAATGCTTCGAAGGCAGCTGAAGAACCTGGTCCAGAATTACTCTGAGGCTGAGGTCAAGGTAAAAATAAAAACCAACACGTTTTGGGTTGTTTTTATGTGAGTCAGCAGGTAGCATCAAGCAGTTTTTAAATGTTTCATGATGATGTTGGTCCTGACATGAAGGTAAATCGAGATTAATATTCAAGCAATTTATAGACTTTTGATTGTTTAAATGGTTAACTAGCTAACCTGCTATTAAAAATTTAATTGAAATGAAAAAGCAGAGCACCAAACACCAATTACAGGGAAAATCTTGAAGATTAAGAAAATGGAAAAACACATTCAGTTCAGAATTTCAACAGTAAAGGTCAGTCTTTAAATTGCTACACACCTAGAGGGGTTTTAAAGTTGCAATGTGAAATGATACACTGCAGTCAAATCTCTCACAGTGCGGAAGTCACTGTTTCTTAACTTCTTTTCAGCTGCTACAACTGTATTCCTCCTTTTGCTTTGCAGCACCCTTACACTTTTCCTTTTGCTTCTTCTGCAGGTTAGAGAAGCGACGTCCAATGATCCATGGGGTCCTTCCAGCTCTCAGATGGCTGACATCTCTGATCTCACCTACAATGCGGTGGCTTGCAACGAGATCATGACAATGCTCTGGAAACGCCTGAAAGATGACAAGAACTGGAGACATATCCACAAGGTGAGAAACAGAGCATTTTCTGTTCATGAGAGAAGTAATTGTTTAGCATTGAGATCTGTTTTTTAATCATTTAATGCCTGAAATGTGGAATCCAACACATTAGCGATTGATTTTTCTTTTTTTCCTTTTCAAAATTGGTAAAGCAGCTATTCCTACAGAAGTATTTCATAAATAAATGCCAATAAATGATGACGTTACATTTAAAATTTTGGCAAACACTACTCCTCTGTTGGATCACTTAATATCAGACTTTTCTCTCATTGGAAATAGTTGCTGTGACAAGTTTTTAATTGTTTTGTTTGAAACAACAACATTCTTCTGCACTTTTTATTTTATTAATCTGAATAATTCTATAAAACTTAGTAGTGTATTAAAATACTATTATGAGCTTTGAAGTCCTAATCAAGACCAAGATATTTAATTAAGCTTCGCATGTATTCATAATTGTGACATTTGTCTGGCTAACGTGTCATCACTGCTCCAGCTAATCTGCAACTTTACATGGTAAAGTTACTTGAGTTGTATTTTTCTTCCCAGTCTCTGACTCTGTTGGAGTACCTCCTGAAGACTGGTGATGATCGTGTGATGCTGAAAATGAAAGAAAACATCTACATTGTCAAAGCTCTCACAGAATATCGTTTTGTGGAAAAGGATGGGAAAGATCAGGTGAAGCTTGTTTTTTATCTCAAGCATTTAGCATTCCGCCTGGCCGGTAGGGAGTTTATTAAACTGCATTAAGAGCATCCATTATTGATACTAAAATATTCATTGCCTTTTACCTTCATAACCTTCTGGTCTGGTGTTAAACAATATTGGATTGAAGAAACATTCACAATTTGGAATTCTTTGGCAGATTTTAAATGAAGATTCTTAAAGATAAACATTAGTTTGGAAAATGTTTATGTTTCCTTACATTTTCTTCCATATTTGCAGTTCTAAACCTGTGTTGGTATGAGAATATCATGGTACATTAACCTCTGTTGAAATTATTCATGATGGTATGGACACAAAATAATCAAAGTTATTTTAATCAGTGTTATAATAAGATAACACCAATTAAATCCTGATTGCTGCTTCCCAACTATAAACCGTGTCACCCTAAATTTATAGGTGGTACCCCTCTAGTTTCAACAACAATAATCATTGTATAGCGTTGTGTTGCTTCATCACCCTGGAACTTTCACCTGCATGAACCACAGGAGAAGCAGGGGATGAAATACTTGCAGTTTTGACTGCTAACCTGTGTAAAACATTGCCATATCCTGTGCCTCGTCTGTAACTTGTCAAACCAACTAAGGAATAATATAACTACATTTTTCATAGGGAGTGAATGTAAGAGAGAAGGCCAAGGTAGTTCTTGTTCTTATGGAGGATGATGAAAAACTGAAAGAAGAAAGAGAGTTTGCTGTGAAGACCAGAGAAAAGACATCCAAAGGTTCTGCTGGTAAGACATTTGGACTTGAAGTATGCCTGCTGAACAGTTTCTGGTTGCCTTGTTACCTTTACTTGTGTCAACATCTTATACATACTTTGATCATTTCTTTTCTATCTCTTCCTGCTAGCATCATCCACAGACAATGTCAAGGATCCTAACTACAAACCAGTTTATGTTCCTGGAGCTTCGGGACTTCCATGCTTAGAGAACATTCCATCTGTGGCCGACTTGACTGCTTCTTTTGCTGCCCGCAAAGAGGAGCGACTTCGACAAGAAGCAGAGAAGAAGGAGACTGAGAGACGAGTGAGTGAGACAAAACAAGGTTATGGACTGAGATGTAGCCAGGGAAATTTTGTACATTTTAAATATGATTATCTGAGAATAAGAAATTAAGTAAGTTGATTCCTCATCAAAACAAAATGGTAGAGAGCTTTCTGATCAACAGTTTAACTTTGTTTTGATGGGTACTCCGTCTTTCTATTCTAGGCCAAGATGAGTGAAGATGAGCTTAAATGGGAGGATGCAGGAAAAGCTGAAAATGCAGCAAGTGAAGCATGGGGTGGAGAGAAAGACGAAGAGAAGAAGGAGGAAGTGAAATCAGACGCATGGGGAGCTCCCAAAGAACCTAGTACTGATCCATGGGGTGCTCCAGCCAAAACTGAAGATCCATTTGTGGCAGACAAAACTGAGGAGGATCCATTCACAGCAGCAAAAGATAAACCAGATTCCTTCAGTTCTTCCAATGGGGATCCATTCAGTGCTCCAAAGGAAGATCCATTCAAAGCTCCAAAGGAAGATCCATTCAAAGCTCCAAAGGAAGATCCATTCAAAGCTCCAAAGGAAGATCCATTCAAAGCTCCAAAGGAAGATCCATTCAAAGCTCGAAAGGAAGATCCATTCAAAGCTCCAAAGGAAGATCCTTTCAAAGCTCCAAAGGAAGATCCGTTCAATGCTCCAAAGGACGATCCGTTCAATGCTCCAAAGGACGATCCGTTCAATGCTCCAAAGGACGATCCGTTCAATGCTCCAAAGGACGATCCGTTCAATGCTCCAAAGGACGATCCGTTCAATGCTCCAAAGGAAGATCCGTTCAATGCTCCAAAGGAAGATCCGTTCAATGCTCCAAAGGACGATCCGTTCAATGCTCCAAAGGAAGATCCGTTCAATGCTCCAAAGGAAGATCCGTTCAATGCTCCAAAGGAAGATCCATTCAATGCTCCAAAGGACGATCCATTCAGTGCTCCAAAGGAAGATCCATTCAATGCTCCAAAAGACGATCCATTTAGTGCTCCAATAGACGATCCATTTAATGCTCCAAAAGAGGATCAGTTTAAAGCCCCCAATGGTGACCCATTTAATACTCCAGAAAATGATCCATTTAATGCTCCAAAAGATGATCAATTTAGTGCTTTAAAAGAAACTCTGAAAGATGATCCATTTAATGCTCCTAAAGATGATCCATTTGAAGCTTCAAAAGACGATCCATTTACAAAATCAAAAGACGATCCTTTTGGTGTCCCAGCAAATGACCCTTTCACTGCTCCAGTATCAACACCCTCTAAAGAGGAGCCAATAATATCTAAGGCTGACTCTTTCACTGGTCCCACAACGCCACCTAAAGCATCATTTTCATCACCAACCAAACCTGTTCAAAATGATAATTTTGGTGGACCAACAACGCCGGGTAAGGAAGATCCGTTTTCTATAACATCAAGAGATGACCCCTTTGCTGCTTCATCTGAACCATCAAAAGAGGACCCATTTACAGTGCCATGCAGTCCACCAACGGAGGCTGCTTCAGATCCCTTCAGTGCCCCTGATGCAGGTTCACCCCAAGAAACTGCAGATACATGGGGAGCTCAAACCAGTTCTCCGCCTACCAAAGGCTCTGATGCTTGGGGGGCACCCAGTGTTCCAAAGGAAACCAAGAGTGCCGATCCCTGGGGGGACGACCCAAGTGTCTCTTCGCCACTTGGTGACTCTGACCCATTTGGAGATGCAACCAAGCCGGACGAGGACCCATGGGGAGCCCCTGGTAAGAAATATTTAAATCGGTTCTTACATTTCCAGTTTCCAGTTTGATCAGCAGTTGGATAAGTCTTAGTAAGGGCTTTAACATAGACTTCTTGACCGTTCTAGCATTTAATTTTACTATTTTTAGCTATGTTGGATGTGAGCATTCCTTTTAGAGATATAAAGTCTTCACTGGAGGCTTATGGAAGAATAATGCTGTGGTGTGAACATTGTCTACAAAGAATATAACTTCAATTTTTATGTTGCTGTCGGTGCAAACAATTGAAATGCCCACAGATATCTGAGCCATAAGTCGATTCTTGTCATCAGGTGACAGAAAGACATTGCTTTCCCACGTTCAGTCTTTGGGAATCACAGCAGACTTCACAATATTTATATTGATGTGTTGGTTTTCTCTGAGTACCTCTGCCTCCTCCCACCGTCTAAACACATTCATATCCCTCTCTGCTTTGTGCTCCAAGAGAACAGGTGGTGTGTCCTTCACAGATATTGGGGGAAGTGGCGGATGCAGACTCATCAGACTGAACTAAACATGCAACTGTTGGAATTAGAGAGGAATATGAAGCATTCAGCAGTCTACACTGTTTTTTGAATTAGTCTGTTGTCAGATATTCCTACTTCTTTTTTCAAGGTTTTACTCATGGTTGCAGTAGTTTATGAACAAGAAGATGTGTATATCTAAGGCTGTGTGTATTTTAACTCAGTTTTTGCTTCACAATCAGTGGATATATTTATAAAACTACTATCTGGGGTAATTGACCACTTGGGGTGCAACCCACATTTGTGCTTCCTATTATGAAGTTTCTCTAGCTTTCAGATGAAGCCTTTCACATGTGACTCCATTGGGAACATGGGTGAAAGGCTGCAGTCGTCTGTACAGCCTACAGATAACAGACTGTAGTGTTATCTTTCACTACAGCTGCCTCATTTGTAAAAACCCACTGGTTATCCTTAACTGCAACTAAAACACACACAGTTACAAGATACTGCAAGCTTTTGGTATGCCATTGAGGGATTTTAGGCTTTTTACTGTCAGAAGGTTCAGATAGCAGCCTGCCTGACAGATCCAATGTCTCAAGGCCATGAGACTAATGTTAACTTACTGTTGAGATTTTTTCTTTACCTTTTGTTGAACAACCTTAGCATCAAACAGCAAATACTTGTCTTGCAAACTTTATTTATTCTCCATTGTGTCATTTGGAGAATGAAACGATGAATATATTAAGATATATGTTAGACTTAATATAAATGGGGGTTTTTCCCTGTTACTTTCAAATCAAACTCTTGTATACATGTTTGTCACTGCAAAATTCCTACAAGTGGCTTTTGTCCTCAGACTTGTTTTCTTTCAATTACATATTTACAGTGAAATACCACAAATAATGTAACAAATTTGACAAATCACAATAAAGTGTTCTTTGTAAGAGAATATGCTTTTCAGTATAGAACCTTGACTTGAAGGTCAAAATCACTATTTTGTTCTGATTGTTCAGTACAAAATGCTGAACAATCTTTATAGAAAGGAGTGATTTTATCTTTGCATCCAATATAATGTATACTTGTCTCTTATTTTGTATTAATATCCTAATGAATATTTTTTTACTATAACAATGGACTGAGCTTGGGTTTCGCTGTTGCTGTTTTTTAAACATATACTTCTGTTTTGTTTTTCCATTCTGCTTCAGGTCCAGTAACATCAGATGATGCATGGGGATCCCCGGCTCCTCCTGCAGACTTGTCCCCATCCGGTGACCCATTTGGAGACGGAGCAACTAACACCAATGATCCCTGGGGTGCACCAAGTAATGCTAGCGGTGATGGTGCAGGTAAAATATGGCTGCTTTTTATGTATATATCTGTCATCCATCATTTAATGAAACATACCGTGATTGTGTCTAATGTGCTTTGCTCTGATTATGTCACTGTACCTCTGAGTAATCTAATGAAATGCTTAATTTTTTTTCTGCAGCTCAGTGCAACGTGGCAAATTGTGATTCTATAATCTAAGATTTGTGGCTCTGTTTGTGCATGAAAACGTTTTTTCTGTCATTGTGTGATTTTCATCTCTAAAGTAAAGCTTCTGCATGTGAAACCTTTTACCTTCAACACTTTTTTCTGTACTTTAGCCATCATTCAGCTAACAATCTTAACCAATTAACCTTCTCTTCCACTTTGCTCTCTCTTCCTCTCTGACCTGGCCCCTAAAGAAAACACCTTTTAGAGTAGCATTGGACCTTTATTTGATTTCAGGAAAGCGCACATCAAAAGAAGAGGAGATCCGTAGAAAGACTGCTTCATTTCTGGGCTCTACGGGGGCGTCACTGGTTGACATGGACGATCTGTTTGCCCCGAACCCCAAAACCAAACAACAGCCCCTCATCAACCCGTTCGCTGCCCGAACACAAGCTATCGGTAAGGTCAGAAAAAAAGCATCACTCTGGGTCACAAATACCCTTAAGGACACAACCTGTGTGGAGTATTACTTGCAGATCACTTGATTATTAAGAAGGCATGATTCATTTTCCTGGGAACCAAAACGTTGCTGTTTCCATGGTGATTTTCAGAAGCACCTCAGAAGGAAGTGTTAATAGAAAGAAGATAAGATTGACCAACAATCATTAATGTGTTTATATGGAAACTCTAATTTTGCACCAACCCGTCCCTCCTTTGAGGTCTTGCTGTCACATATAGATGTGTGTATCACCTGTTAGCGTTAATGATCTGCTGTAAAGTCGCCCTCTGTAGATAGTAGTGTGTAGTAACCTGCCAACATCTTCTCATTCCTCTCTTTGCTCTACTTTGGTGTCTCTTTTCTGGAATACTTCAAACGGCATAACCCACCCTCCCTCCTTCCCTCCCTCCTCTTACCGCTCACACTCATTTCCCAGGCACATCCAAAGACATGACATCTGGTCCTTTGGCCAGATCAGGGGCATTCACTGAAACTTTAGCCCCAAACTTTAACTCCGTTGGTCTCAGCCTAGCACCCACTCCTGGTGTAACTCATTCTGCTTTTGGAGCTGCCGGTCCCGCTGGTGAAACTCTCCAGTTTAGGGAACCGTTACACACCATGGGAACTCCTCATTCTTCTGTGCATGTTCTTCAAGCAGCTCAGGACGCTCCAAAATATGGAATGCCACCACCTGCGACACAAGTGGGTTTGGGAATGTTGGAGTCGGAATATAATGTGGGGAATATTTTGGGAACAGGGGACACTCCAGTTGGCTTTTTTGGAGCAAACTCAGCAAGTGTAAATCCATTTCTATGTGCTTCTCCACAGACAGGCAGTGAACCAAATGAGATGATCATAATCGATACCAACACATTCTTGCTTTAACAGATTTTTTAATTGAGTCAAACCAAATTGTCATAAAATATCAATAAATAACAATAACCATTATGGAGCTTTTCAGTTTTATGACCATGGTGTTATTTAAGGCATGTTTCTACTGCTATGTCTGTTGACACAATGAACAATGGTCAGAATCTGCTTATGAAATAGTAAATTATTCTATTTCAGTTAAAGGATTGGACTTCATCCAATCCTTTAACTGTTTAAATAAAACAACATGTCAGCTGGATAAACCATTACATTTATCTGGGAAAGGAAACATTCAAGTGTCTTTGGGGAAACACTAGAGTAATTGTGTATCTGTGTGGTTTTTGTTTTCTTCAGGTGTGCATGTGTTCAAAGGAGATTTGTGTGTGTGAAGTGTATGCAGGTGTGCACTCTATAGTTCTCTATATATAAATATATATTGTGCTGATGTAAATAGTGGAAGTAATTACTGCTAAACCTGGAATTATACTGTATATCAAAGTGTTACAATCAAGATTAACTATTTATGGATATATTTATTGATTTGTTTATTGCTTCATACATTATTGATGCAACCGGGCCCTGCAACAAAAGAAGATCAGGTGAACTTATATGACTGGTTTAAAATTCAGCTCAGAAACTGTTGGTGTGTCCATTGTATCCTTTCTGATTAGGATTCATTATGTAGTGGAACATGTCTGCGTTGTATGTCCCAACAAATTGCTTTCTGTTACATGCATGCACTCTGAGCACATCCTGTTATCGTATATATGTGAGTGAGTGTGTGTGTGTGTGTGTAAGAGTGAGTTCGGCCTTGACAGTTTTGGTGTGTGAGTGAAACAAAATTCTGTATTTTAGAAAACACCTGCTGTAAGAGTAAATAAATATATTCAGCTGATGCCGTTCTGATTCCAGCCACATGGAGCTGGACAGTAGCAGCTGAAAGCTCTGAGTTGTGAAAGTTTCAACTTATACTGAGCCATGCAACTTCTCACAGGTTGCTTCATTTAAACTGTTTGCATTCTTTTAATCAACTCGGGGGTACCTGTTCATGTTCTGCTTTATGTGAACGAAATTAAAAATTTTGATTGAATGAAATCTGAATTTATGCTCACTTGGATTCAAAGTGTTTCATGTTTTGCTCATCTTAAAGGATTAAACAGACGGTTGCTCTTCAAAGCCTCACACAGCAGATGAAACATCTGTGTAAAGATAGAAAGAAGGTCAGCCTCTGTCTGTTCTTTGGCAGGTAGACTGTGTAATTTTCAGATTTTATTTTGTATGAGATACATTTATTTTGCTGTGTATTTACCTTTAAAACTGTGTTGTAGACTGTGACAGTGTACAGTATGTTTGAGAAATAAAATGGATTTTGTTGCCTCTATGTAGTGTGATCTGTCAATATTTGTGTTTTAAAACAATGTAATGTCATTTTTTATCTCTGTTGATCTAATTGGGAAAATTACAAACAACACAATTTTGTCATATTTTTGTTACTACTTAAACAAAAAGAGCCAAAGTATTTAGTGAAGGAAAAGGTTGGTGCACTCTGCCCTCTATTAGGAAACCTGTGGCTTAAATAGCTTCATGATGTTGCTTCTTGTCACCTTTTACCAGAAAGTTGGAGCTTATTATAAAAGACAAAAACAAATAAAAAGTGGAAACATGTAAAAAAAAAAAGAAAGAAAAAAAAAAAACTTTCAGCATTAACAGGATCCATTTGATTCATAAGGACCCAATGAAGGCTTTTGCACTGATCAATATAAAGGCTTATTTTTTTACTCCTGTCTTTATACCACATTATTTTATTTTAGGAGGTGCATTTTCATATCCTATGATAAAGAGAAAACATTTCCATTCAATGAAAAATAGTTATAGTTCAAAATCTGCCACAGAATGAATAATTTTGAGTTCAATTTTATATTTACATTGACGAATGATACTGTTAGTATCAGAAAACACCACAAGAGGGCGATAATGAGCCACTACTACACCACGTTTTCATGTTTCAGCACATGATTATTCACATTTTGAAGTAACACCAATTTTGTGTATAATATCTAGAATTGTATTTATAAATAAGTTATTATTTTTAAATTGTGATTTAAGGTCCTTGATCAAAACTGGCTTTGTGTATGTTACAGTTTACCATTTATGTTTTGATCTTTGAGGTCAACCAATAAAAAAATATAAATTTATTACTGTATCTAAATGCAAGATTTTAGTAAAAATCATAGTTTATAGAAATTTCTCCATTCACATGCATGTTCTGAATATTCCAGAGGTGTAAGACAATATAGAGGCCATTACAGAATTGTTTTTTGAGTCATTCAGGATATCCAGCTGAGCCGGATCTCAGTTGTTACATTCATGGAGAAAGAAGCTTAGAGTCTAAAAGCAGAGAGATGTGTCACATCAGGATAAAATGGGTTGGTCAAGTTGATGTGTTACATATTTTTACTCAAGCAACTTAAATAATATAATCCACAGGAAAAGCTCCTTTTGTAGCAACCCAGATCCATAATAATTAAAATTATGGAAACATAATGAGTATTTTCTACGCTGATGAAAAACCATTTAATTAATTGAGCATCTATAAGATTAAACTGAAAATCTGTTATAAGGTGTTAACAGTCTTTTCGAAATCAAATCTGTGTGATAAACCTTCACTGTTGTCAATTTTGACATTTAAAATGTATGATTTTGGGATGGCCTATTACAACTTGAATATAAAAGCCTTTTGGCTTAGATGGACTCTGTGGGAAGTAATAAGTTGAAATGGATTGTCTTCCTGATGCAGAGAATTTGCTTGTGTAACTTTAGGTGTCAACTAAGGTAAACTGCTAATTTACTTTATAGTGTTGCATTGTTGTATAAGATTAATAAATAATACATGTCTCTAATGTTATAAAGAAAAAGCAATGTCATAGCGAAGGTCACAGCAGTGTCCAGTATAGATGAATTTTTACCAACCTGTGGAGTTTAAGCTGAGCTACATCAAAATGTTTCTTTTCGCTACATTTCATGGTTAAATTCTTGGTGGTGCTGATTTTCCATAGTGGCTCTGTAATCTGTTTGTGGGTCAGAATTATTTCAATTTCTATTCATTTCTGCTATAACAAAACCACAACATTTAGGTTTATGTGTATACAATTTTGAATTCCTTGTTTCCATCATAAAAACTCAAAAACAGCTTCAATTTAAGGTGCATTTTAAAAATGCCTTCATCTGTAAATTAAGAAAATTCATCACTGTCTGAGTCAGATAAATAGCATAAAATTAGATGTGTGTAATGTTTCACAGCTGAAGCATGAGGATGTTTGGACAGTTTGTGGTTTAGCAGTAGCATGGCTGCCCCATCCACTGAGGCTATTAGTCCTTGGATCCTCTACCCATTTCCTGTGTGAATACTATAAATATCACACAAAAACTTTTTAACATAAGACATTAATGAATGGGACATTGTGGAATTTTGGTTCTTTGACCTTAACTTTCAAATTATTGTTTGATACCTTCTCAAAATTTCATTTTGTTGACAGAGGAAACTTTGTCCTGTGGTTTGAACTTTTTTTTTTTGTTTGAATTCATAATTTTCTCTTATTCTGCTAATGAATTGCCCAAAGATTCACGTCTTTCTTCATTGAAACAAATGCGCAAAGTATATTATAACCTAACTACGTAAACAAAAAAGTCCAATAATACCATGACAATCAGATCCCTGACTAGTGTGTGCAAACATCTGGCCACAACGGTGCAGCTGCACTGGATTGTGTTGAAGGGTCAAAGCTTAAGAAGCAGCACAGACCATCAGAGTTTATCACCAGTGCACTCATCCAGCTCCCAGCTGTTCTGAGTCATATTGGGTCAGGTTGGATGAGAGAGCCAAGAAATGAAGTCAACAAGAGAAAGGAAAAAGCTGTGATGGTGGAAGGGTACGAAGAGCGAAGGGGTGGGAAAGTAACAGATGGACTTGGGCGGATTAGAGCGAATCTGGGTGGGTTTCCACTGGAAACCAGGCGCAATGCAGGAATCGAGAAAAATTCAGGAAACCTGAATCTATTATTCAAGAAGGTTGAGACAAACACAAAGTGAACGTTATCTAGCCTGCAGGCATTGGTAAGTGACACTTCATTCCTAATGTGTTGCTTTGATTTCTTGCTGTGTGAGATTTTTTTGTTGATCAAAAAGTTGAGCTTTTCCAGCTGCAGCTGGATTTTCTAATCCCACCCCTAAGGAAAATGATTTCAGCTCATTCTGATGAGATGCTTACAGAAGAGATCAACTAACACATTACTGCATGGTATTTCATGTGAACATTGGTGTTATTCATTAAAAATGCATTGCAAAGTCAGATCAAATGTGTGAGAAAGCCTGAAAGAAAACCTGAATGATGAGCAAGCAAACTGTAGGGCTTCTGGAACAACATGCTAACTTGGAACAATAGAGCATTTAATTTAAAACAGATGAAATTACCAGGTATCTTATTACACATGTATATTTTCAGTAGATTATTGATTTAAAAAATGATCAGAACCTCCTTAAGAAAAAGTATAAATTAGATTTGATTGAACGAGAGAGTTGCCGCCAGGCAGACATTAGATGAGATCATAGCATGTTCACTTCTGAAAAGTTATTGAAACTGAGTCTGAACTCCACTTATTGCCTAAATTAAACAACTTAATTGTTTAATTGATCATTGTTTGCATGTCCTCTACAAAGTATATTGTTTTGCTCAATATATCTCAGAAACATTCAAATGACAGGTTCTGTGCAACAGAAATGAATGGCTCTTCTGAAAAGTTATGTTGGTTTAATTTGAAACCATCTTACGGTTCATAGAAGCTACACATTAATTACAGTAGTTAGGTTGAGAAATGAATGTTATTGGTTTACTATTCTAATTCATTGTAAAAACAGAAAAAAATAAATAATGTTAGCAATGTTAGCATCCAAATCTTTTTATTTTGGATTTAGATGCTTTTATTTAAAATTATTCCTCTTGTTTGCATGTCCTCTACAAAGTTTAATGTTATTGTTTTTGCTGTCTGATTTCTGGGGATTTAGAGTAATTTAGAATTATTAATAGAGCTGTACATAAATGTCTGTAATTTATTTAAAGGAGCAATGTTGTCTTAAGGAAGTCTTGACTACTAAGTCATGGTTTCTGGTGTTTATATTATTATTTTTTTTTTAATTGTTGCTCTTTCAATCAATTTCTGTCCTTACGTATTCCTTCCTTTAGCAATGAAATATGTGTGGTCCACTTCAGATAAGCAGAGTAAGAAATTAGGGAATAAAAACCAAAGTGTGAGACCGAACAGAACTTTGGTACCTGCAAAACCCCCACAGTGTCAAGAACAGAACCTGAGAGATTCATCATCCAGTGATCAGACTTGTCACAATTTGTATTGATTATCTTTAATCATTTTGCTTTCTTTTTACTGTTTCTGTTTATTAAAAATGTTCACTCTTAACTTCATGGAAACAACACAAATCTTCTTCTTTGAAATATTTTATTGTGAGGTAAGGGAACCAGATAAAGGTTAGGGAAGTAGGATTTGATGCATAAAGGGTAAATGGTGGGATTTTCGGTTGGATTCAAAGTTCGAATAAAATCTGAAATGAAGAAAATATGATCAGTGCATCTCTAAAGTTTAGACATTTTTATAGATTGAGCAAGAGAAATTATAATTTATTGAATTTATTGTTGAATTTATTGAATTTCACAATTCATAATATTGTTCAAACTAAATGATCTAAATCAAGTCTTCTCTTCTAGGTGGTCAGCTGAAAATAGGCTTAAAAGTCCAAAGAAAAACTTTTAAAGACCTTTGGAAATATTGTACAGCTGTTGATTTAGAGAAGAAAACGATGAATTATCACTTTTCACTTGCAAGGGCTGGAACAATTGTTTCTCTATGAGTCATCATGTGAAGGCTGAAGATGCTACAATAAGAAGCAAAGCTTCATTTTATCTCACTAAAATCTGTTTTCACAAAACTACATTTTCAATCCAGTCGTTCCACCGCAGACAGATGGATAAATAGGTCAACAGCACAACAGCTCCTCCAGTACAGATGAGCCAACATGAACTTTGCTTCACTTAGAGCTTTGCAGATAAGAGGTGAAATGTCTTCAGGAACCAAAGATTATTCCCAGTTGACTTCGGGTTAATCTGCCATGGCTACCATGACGTTATAGACTTATAATCTTTGCTGCAAGTTTTCTTGATGATTTTGGCCAGATGTCAACCGTTTTCTTCTCTTGTTTCACATGATAGGTGCAGCATGAGAGTCACCGGCCATTAATCTCCTCCACCTTACCCAAGATTAAAGCAGATTTACCGGGACCCAGAGGCAGGCCTGAGATCCTGGACTAATCACTCCTTCTTTAACCCAATCCCTGTCGGAGAGGTGAGGGAACAGGTTGAGAAGAGGGATGTACCATGAGGCTGGACCTGATTAGATGTAAAATCCGGATTCTAAGATTTAAATCTGCCTTGGAGCGGGAAGAAGAACTCATCAGGAAGAAGGATATGTGAGGAGCCTCGTGGCAACATGAAGCTCAGCTAGACAGGCGTCTGGTGCTGTAATACTCTCAAGAAACAAAGATCTTAAATTTAAATCTGATAACCTGCTTTGTTCGCCTGGTCAATTCCAAGTTTCTGTAACAGACACGAGAGCTGGGATCCTCCAGTTCGATAAGGATGCAACAGCTGGAGCTCCTCATGCAACTTCCAGTCGGCACATCTGTCGCAACTTGATTAAAACCCAGCACTTTCTTTCTCTCTCTGTCCTCTGACCTCTCATCAGATATCTTTCCTCAGACCCCGCCCTCTTTCCAACTCTTCACCACTGCTCATCTTCCTCTCTGACCTTTGTTTCTCTTCTGAAACATCCTTAATCTCCTTATTTTCTCCTCTTCTGCCCTCCATGAGTCACTTTTAAACTGCCAATCAACCTTCCTGCTTCTTACTTTTCTCAAAGTTGTCCTAATCTTGTTCTTGAGGATGCTTCAGCATGCTGACCTTCATCCCAAAAGGTCACCAAAACTGGTTGCCATTTTAGGGCCATCAAGGTAAAATCGTCCCACCGCCTGCCGCATTCCTCCACTGGCTTCAGTCCGGTTGAGCAGTGACAATGCTGGAGAAAATGTCCAGACGTAACCGGACCCTGCTGTCCCTGGGTCTCACCTCTCTGGCCCTGACATTGTCAGTGTCAGCTTTCTGCAGTTCCTACTGGTGTGTAGGGACACACAAAGTGGTGAAGCCAGTCTGCCTGTCACCAGTCAAGATGAAGAACTGTGGAAAGAACAACAGCCAGCCGTACACAACAGGTGAGGCTGCAGGGGCTGAGGATGATCAAAATACCAGCTACAAGTAATCAGAGTTAAGGGGTTAAAACTGGGCCATTGAAACTTTGTTGCAAGCAACCAAAATAGAAAAAATAATCAATGGAAAAACAGAAAATTACAGAAGCATTCAACTTTCATATTCGAAAAATAAAGATATGGACAGCATCTCATTAAAAGGGTTAATATTTTAAGGTTAAGTATCATTAAAGCATTACAAAACCTAACACTGAATACATTTTAAAAAAATTTTTTTATCAATTATATTGAATTCATCTATCATGTTCTCAAATACCAAGTCAAATACATCATTTGTGTGCACAGCTTCTACCCTCAAAGTCTGATGTGATTTAAAATGTTTTTACTAAATTATTTACAGTCAATCTCAAAAGTTTTTACATCCTTGTTAAATTGACAGGTTCTTGTGACGTAATCTAGAAATCATGCTCAATACTTTTGTAATTGTTCACCCATCTTGACAAAACCTTCAATAATACCTGGTTAAATGTAACAGCAGACCATGATTAGGGCACCACTATGCTTTATCTTAGGTATATGTCTTTGTTGATGCTCTGAATGCTTTTTCCCTCCAGGCTTTAGGATATCTTAAATTATAAAAATGAGCAAATGTCAGGATATCCCTACTAGAATTGTATTTCTGAATTCATCCTAATTGATGGCTGGTTAAAACCCAGGTTAGTCAAATTGTGAAAATGAATCAAAAGATACTTCCAGAAAGTATTATCCGATGGTTGTGGGAACATATGTAGCCAGTTTGCAGCTTTTCACTCATTTTTATTAATACGTTTAACTGAGATGGCTGTTGATTTGTGCACAAAAAATATTACATTCAATGTGGGTAATGTTTTGAAATAATTTTTTATGGTTTTAATCAATTTCTTGCAAGAACCTATTTTAACTGGTGCACACATTTGCACATTTTTCAGCCATTTGGCTCAAACTATTTGGATATTCTGTGCATAATTAAAACCCGTCTTTAATTTGTCATCTTATGTAAACATGTAGCATTCTGTGACAAATATCACAAAGACTCTATGGTATCTCTCTGCTCTGCACAACACATCATATGCAGCAGCATAATGTGAAACTGCAGGGTGTTCTCTGTGAAAAAATAATCCCCCAGCCAGTCATTTAATAAACACGTTAAATTGGTTACCTGAGAGCTCAGTGGCGAAGCTTTGAATGTAGACATTTTTATACATAATTCACATAATCCCATGTATCCTCTAATCTCAGTTGCAAAGTAATAAAAAAAACACCACAGCTGACTTTTAGAGCAATGTTTGAGAGCTTTACATGATGTCACTCAGATGAATCATCACTTCATACAATTTTCTCATTCTCCTGCAGTTACTGCTCAAGAATACTTAAAACAACCAAAAGCTGCATTTCTAGATTGTTTTAGCTCATATAATCTGAGTTTATTCTACTTTATAGAATATATTGTACTCTTTTAACAGATTGATCATCTGTATTATATCCTTCTCAAATAGAGGCTCCCACCCTGGACCCCAGGAACCCGGTGTCCAATGTGACGCTGTCTCCACAACAGAAGGAGGAACTGGCCCTGATAAGGAAAAGGCAGTTGGCCAATGCTGTGCAGTATCTCTGGGAAACGGGCGAGGACAAGTACATGCTGAGATATTTTCACACGGGTTTCTGGCTTTCCTGTGAAAAACACAACGAAGGTTGGTGAGACAGAGAGCCAAGAGGCTGGAAACGGGTTCAGATGATTACTCAAACTCATTTCTATTCAAACTGAAAAATGAAAACAGTAATAAACATGTCCCAGAGCATTTTCTTCATAATTTAAATAAATTCCCAAAATCTTTAAGAATCTGGGTTCTGAAAACATTTTCTAAGAACCAACTGAATAATTTCTTTTCAATGCAACATTTTATGTTATTTATGGGAGTGCAAAGCACATAACTGATCAAAAGAAACATGTTTTCGACAGTCTAAGATTTAAAAAAGTAAAGTTTGTTTATCATAAACAGAAAAATAAAGTTGATGACAAACTTAGAACCTTTATACTTGTCTGTCTTACATAAATGTAATGTAAATTAACCTTACATTTAGGTTAATTTACATAAACCTAAATGTATGCAGCTATGTAGTAAAAATGAAGACTAAGGTGTCTGATGTGCAGAAACAACTGTGTGGTTGGTGCAACTAATACCTGCACCATAAAGCATGTACAGAATCTAAAGAGCAATCACTCAACCTAGATCAATAAAATATTATCGTTTTTCAGAATTTATGTTTAAAGCTGACAGAAGGTGGAAGCGTTTGCACTGCATGTGCTCTATTTTAATACTGTTATCTGAATCTGTTCATAAATCATTCAGAAATTAAATTAATTCAGGGAACCAGGTGACTTAAGGTTGTATATGGAACATCTTGTTTTTAGGAGATGATCAGGAAGAAAAGTGCCGCAGCTTCATTGAACTCACCCCAGGAGAGACACAAGGTTGGTGCAAAAACAGTTGTCGACCATATAAAATTTTATAGAAAACAAATAATAAAAACACATTATTTCTTTTTTACACTTGCAGGTGTGCTGTGGCTATCGGTTATCAGTGAGTTCATGTACATCGGCCTTCTGGCGATGGGTTTCCTCCTGATGTGTGTCGAAGCGATGTGCCTCTGTGCCAAGAAGGAGATGAGCTCCCTGAAGATCAACGCCTTTGCTGCAATGTGCACCGTCCTTTCAGGTCAGTGGTGAAAAATATTCTGGTTCAGTAAAAGTGCTGGAGTCCAAACAAAAAGATTTGAATAAGTTCAAAAGTTTATCTCTGTTTTTATACACTATGTTAGGTCGATTTTTCTTTCCTCATCTCTTTTTTAAAACAATTCCTTTTCCATGTTTACCAGGTATGATGGGAATGGTAGCTCATATGATGTACACCACAGTGTTTCAGATGACAGTGAGCATCGGACCAAAGGACTGGAGGCCACAGTCTTGGGACTATGGATGGTCTTTTGCGTGAGTTAGTTTTTTTGTTTTCTCCTTGCTTTGAATGTTGTCCAAGGATCATAGATTTACTTTGACTCTCACTGGTTTTTGAGATCGATAAAAAACTTCCTGTGTCCCTTTCTGTAAAATAAAGGCAGAACCAATTGAATCAGAATTATATTATATACATGTTTTTTTCAGTGTCTTATCTCAGGAGCATTTCAACCAACTTTGAATAAATTCCCAAAGAGACCCTTTAAGTCCAGGTCTATCTCTGCATTGCTGTTTTTATATCGCCATATCACGTTGTATTGGGAAATTAAATTGATACAATGCTCAGTGTTGTTTTCTTTACTCTTCATGTCTCAGGCTAGCATGGCTTTCCTTCAGCTGCTGCATGGCAGCCGCTGTGGCAACACTCAACTCGTACACAAAGACCATCATTGAGATGAAGCACAGAGCCAGGGTGAGGCTGGAGGAAGCCCGAGCTGCTACCATCGCCCCTTCCTATGAGGAGGTTGTTCGAGCCGGAGGTGGAGGGCTTTACTCAGTCAGTCAGCTGATTCATCTCGGCCAGCAGGGGGCCCTCATGGATCCACTGTGGCCAAGAGGAGTGGGACCAGCAGTTGGACCTTTGACATGCGGTGCTGGTGGGGCCCTGCTGGTCGGAGGTGGAGTCGGGGGCATCGGGATGGGAATGGGAGGAGCCATAGCTGGAGGAAACACAGCTATTGCAGGAGCAGGTGGGATCGGTGTTGGAGGAAGTGGAGTTGGGATGGGAATGGGAAGTACTGGTGGGACAATGGGGGCAATGGGAGGAGGTGGAATGGGAACAGGAAGAATGGTGGACGCTCATGGAGTCGTAGTTGTGGAGGGATGCACCACAGAAGGATGTGAAGAGTGTGAGCGAGAGATGGACGAGATAGATTACACTCTGCAGGAGGAAAGAGAGGACTCCATCTGCTAGGACTTAAAGGATTAAGGACTGGTAAACAACACAAGACTTGAAGAATCACCTGTATTAAATTTTTTGTACATAAACTGTCTTCGAGTTTTTAGAAATTCACTGTCAGTTTCATTATCGCTATACAAAGATTTCCAAACTTAAATGGCTTGATTAAATGTTTTTTTTTATCATCATGCCTCTGAAGTTTGCAATTACAGTTGGGATTTATTCATATTTCAGTTATATAATAAATATCTCTCAAGTCCTGAAGAGCTAGTGAGTATTGTCACAGTACAGCAAAGATAATAAGATATCTTCAAAGTGGTATAAAAAAAAAAGACGCAAAGAAAAAGTCACTTGGGGCGAACTATCGGTGGCATCAACACAAGCTTTGACATGGAGCACAGCGCTGAAGGGAAACTCATCATTACTTAGAGTCATGGTGAAGTGGAAGTGCCATCTTTCTGGTTTCAGTGAATAAATTATCTGGCTTTATACCATAATTTATTTAACTACTCCCTCAAGGATACAAAACCAAACCAAAGATTTTATATATTTTAAGAGGACAATTCTCTATCCGTAATGCTATAGATTTAGCCTGACCTTGCTCATACTCGTATTAGGACATTTTCTGGTAATTAATCTAAGGCTGGAAAATCCAAGAAATTTTGTGAATAGATGCTACAAGCTGGTCATACTGACATCCCACAGCAGCTTCTTTACTTTTACTCATCGTTATCAGGATAAGTAATAGAAAACTGAACCAGGTTACTTGTGTAAAACTGGCCTTGCACTGACGTTTTATGTGAATCAATGTGTTTTAGCAGTGATTTAGTTAATCAGAATTCAAAGTTACAACTTCTCAGGGCAATTATGTACACTTTAGCCACAACTTTTCAGAAATACTTATGGACATGACAGCAGTTGCACATATGCACATGTAGTGACAGAGTGACAAGAGACATTTTGAATTTAGCCCTGCTGCCTCCTGCTGCCACAAGGGAAGATATGAAAAATTAAAACACAACACTGATGAAAGTTAGAAACACCAATTTTTCTGCTTGAATTTTTATTAGTGTTTTGCAAAAACTGTGGGTAAAATGGTTTTTCTTTTATTTGGAGGGGTGAGGGTTGGGTTGTGTTGGAGCCTTGGAGTAGAGTGACTCAGTTGAGGCTTTTTGGACATCTGGTCAGGCTGATCCCGGGGTGCCTCCCAGGGCAGACCCAGAGTCAGCTAGAGAGACGCTCTAAAAGCTTGGGAAAAGTTTTGCGTCCCACAGAATAAGACAAAAAGTTTCATTGGGGGAATAACAGACCTGAGACCCTCACAATCCAATCTCAAATACAACACAGTACTCTTGTTTTGGTCAAATATTCTCAAATCAGATTTTTCTGTTCCCACAACAAAAGACACAAACTGCCAAGCAGTGTCAAAAACTGCTTGTGATTCCTGCTGTGTGGTTCAGTTTCTGCTTCTGAGAACATAAAAAAGTCTATCTAGGAATACCGAAAAAAGTGAGATGACTGTGGCAGAGAGGTCTGGATTTTGAGACAGATGTTTTTTAGATGTTGGACAGAAGATTATGTCAGTAATCTCTACCAGTGATGGAAATAAGACAGAAAGAGAGAGAGGGATTGACTTAATTCAGGCAGTGAGGCAGAGATAAACTCAACTCCAAGGTTATTGAATGGCACTGTATGAGGACAGTAATTAAAAATGTAATTTAAGAGGTTAGATAATGCAGCAGTTATGCAACCTCATCCATATGGACAGTAACCAGTTCCTGTAACTTTAACTAGCAGCAGAATAATGTTTACCACCGCATTTTGATTTTTAAAAAAATATTTACAATTTTTTTATAAACTGAAACATATTTCTCTGACTGAATAACAATTTAAGTTAGGAGATTTTGGAAGAATATTCTAACAAGAACAAAAAACAGAATACTTGTAAACCTTTTTTTTCAAATGTGTTTTTGCATTTTATTTGACATTAAAGCAAACAAATTCTAAAACCTCATTGAATCAGAATTTTATTGTTTCCATTTATTGAATATATTACAAAGGAACATGCAGGACCATCGCTAATTTTCATATTCATCACATAAACAACAAATATGTAAAATTGTGCCCCGGGGTTAAAATAAAAATGGTAAAAGACTAATTGAGCTAAAGTAATGAAGCAATATTGTATGTCAGTCAGGGTTCATACGCGATAATAATTATTATAGTCAACTACTGAATTGAATACGTCTTCATAGCGAAATAAACCTTCATTATATCCCTTTTATTTGCACTAAATAATGGCTGCATCAGTCATTCATGATACATAAATGCATGTGTTTAAGTGTCAGATGGGTCCAGAATCCTGTCCACTAAGCAGCAAAATGGACAGACAGCAGTTTATAAATACCTGTTTACAGATACTTGCATACTAATTTTTACAGTCGAAGTCATCTGTTTGCACTACTTCACTTTTTTCCCAGTTTTGATTGGATCCTTCATATTTCAAACTACAAACAACGTGGACAGCACACGAAGACAGGCAGCAAAACCAGTAGGAAATCACACTTCAAAACTTTTCAAGGGGCATTATCTACAGTCATGTGTTCACATTGTGAGGACACCATCCGGTGCCACTGCATTTACAGAAAGACCGGAACCAGAGGGAAATGGATCAGTCAGGTAAAAAAAGTTATTTTAAAGGCTCATACTGAATCAAACGGAGGGCGTCTTCATTTTGCAACAATCCTTTGATGAACTCTCCCTCTGCAACTCGGTCTAGAGAAAACAAAATAAAGAGCAAAACAAAGTTATAGCATGACTTATGTATATTCATCCATTTTTGTGCACACATTTAATAATATAGAGTCTAAATCTATTTCCTAAGAAATAAAAGATTTAAAGTGTTAATAAGTAAAATTGTTTGGTCAAACAGGAACAGAGATTTCACAGATATTGAAAACAATTTGTCTGCAGTTTTTAAAATGCTTTTGCATTTATGACCTTAATAAAAAGAAAATCAATTTCTGGCGTCAGTTACAGACAATTGAAGAAGAACAAGATTTTAAAAAACAATTTAAAACAAAAACCACTTGAGACATATCACCACCTTGTCTATTTATCACTATCAATACAACTTCATCGTACCATTGTCACCCTTATCGAAGACTTTCCAGAGTTTGTCTGCCCTCTTTTCAGGTGTGTTTTCATCCTCAGGTAGATCGCCCACTTCATCTGTCGGTATCAGCTTGAAAATTGACTGTAAAACAGAGAGGAGAGCAAATAAATTGCTCAAGTCAAAATAATGAGTTTTTCTGTGGATTTTCATATTGCACTGTATCCAGTTTAATCTCATTTCTCCATTTTGTTTATCTTCATTTATTTACAACAAAACTAACATCCTTCCATAAAGCCATTTATTTGGAGAGCACCTCTGGTTTTATCTAATTATATTTTCTCTTATCTTTTACGTTTATATTTAGCAACAAAACATGCTTCCATGGAAAGTGGACACTTTTATATAGTTACAGCAGTGCTGTATAATTGCTTAATAACTACAACAAGAATGCCGAAAGGACACAGAAAGAGTGTCAGTTGAATTTTTGTATAACTATTTTGGATCAATTAAATAGTGCATAACTTCCCTACATAGAGTTTTTTCTGGTGTTTGAATGTTCAGAATGATTTGAGACACAAAGTCTCAAGACCTGCTTTATAACATCCAGTCATTTGCACACTGATAATGGTAAGCTACAACACTGCAGCCACAGCTACCATGGGGCAGTCTGACAGAAGTGAGGCTGGTTCCAACGGGCCCTGACCACCAGCAGGCCCCTGCACCACAAATAGCAGACCAGGTGAGTGAAACACTTTGTCCAAGGACACAATGACTAATACAGACAGATCATGGGTCTGAATCAAAAACCCATTACAGGATGAACTCTTTCCACCACCGCCCTCTTTTTTACGTTATCTAATTGCAATATCACTTTATCAAAATTTAAAATAAAAGAAAAAAATGTGCCGTCTCAGCAATATTTTGTCTTTTTAGATATTAGCTGCTTTATTGCTGTTGTAAATTTACCCTGAAAAGTGCATCACTAAGCTGTCTTCTGACTCCAGCATAAGCTTAAACTGTTTATCAGCGTGAATGAAAGTCTAATCCTGAAAATATATTATCTAACCAGTGGAAGGGCCTGACCTTTTGGCTAAAAATAAATTAGGGAACAGACTTCAGATCAGACATGGACAAGAAGCAAGTTCACCATGTGGTCACAAAACAACAAATACTGTAACAAAAGCAGGTTGGGAAATTTAACTAAATATACATTTTTGGCAATGAACATTGCAGATCAATGTCCAAAAATGTTGTATTATTAAAATTGGATTTTAATAATCCAATTATTAAAATCTGCCATTAAGAATCAAATTGCTGAACTTAGAAAGTCAAAATCATTGGAAACTTATATTTGTGTGTATAAATCTACATCAACGCAGTGGCTCTACAACTTTTCTAAGAAAAGAAATGTCATGGTGAGAAACCTGGGCAAGAATTGTAGGCTTTGTGAACCAAATCCATCAATACAGATGTGATACTTCCTTCACAGATCACAGTCAGGAATGTACTCTTTGCCATGGAATACCAATCTGCAACTTTCCAATCATGTCCAAAAAATTTCATGTAAAATGTAAGGCAGATGTTTCATTATCCAGTTATCAATTGATATACTTCAGTTGTTTATGTTCTGCTCTGAAAATATTGGAAAATAATATAATAATAAAAATATTTACAGTTTCACAGTCTGAAAATACATATGGGAGACTCTATTGTCAAACTCTATGTTGATGACACATTTTTCTTCAGCTACATATCCAAAACTCACTGTGCAGATTTCTGTGACCTCTGACTTGGTGATGTATCCGTTCTTGTCCACATCAAACAGCGAAAATGCCCATTCAAGTTTGCTTGTGGTTTTCCCCGTTGCAGTCATGTGGAGGGCGATGATGTACTCCTTGAAGTCCAGGGTGCCGTCGTCATTGGTGTCGAAGGAGCGGAAGACGTGCTGGGCGTAAGTGTTTGCATCGCTATCTGGGAAGAACTTGCGGTAGATATTCTGAAATTCATCTTTCGAGATGCGGCCCGATGGACACTGCTTTTTGAAGTTCTCATACCACTGGACAATCTCAGTTTCTGAGAACTTGGTGTTGAGTTTAAGGTCCTCAAGGATTTCCTTGGACACAGCTCCACTCTTGCTGTTACCCATTACTGCTGGTGTTGGAAATCTGTTTATAGGTTTAACTTGTCGGCCCTTGGTTTTTCAATGGCACTTGTAGCACAACTTCAGCCTCTGAAGCTTCCTACTCTATTTTATAAATTAGTAAAAGGATGACTATTTAGAAGACACAGCTAAAATGTTCTTGATGCTGGTGTTGGCCTTGTGCACAACTCGTAGACGCAAATGCTGTGAAAAGAGCAGAAGGCACTTGGTAAGCTCATTAGGCCTACGAGTAGATCCGGTAAGAGGTGTCAAGGACATGTTTTATCTTAGGTCAAATCTCGAATGCTTGTTTTTCGTTCAGTATGAAGTGGGTTCTCTGACAGGTTTTAGAGTCAAATCAGGTTAAAAAGCATTGAAATGCTGTGAGATGAGAAGTGCTGTGAAGGCTGAACATGTTTCACGTTACCCTAATAGCATCTCATGTGCACCGCTGCTAAATGCAACGTGAATATACAAGAAAGATGAACAGCTGAAATAATTATTTAGTAATTTTCATCTTTGTTCACACATTTACCCACTTAGTGCTAATTATCCCAGAGGATTGTAAAATATAATCTCTTTCCTACATATTTCTGGAATTGAACTGCATTTTAAACTACCATTATTCTAAAGTGTGTGGGATTTTTAGAAATCACTCTTCTAAATGGTCATTAAATGGGCTAAGGAAAAAATTTAATAAAATGAATCGAAAAAACAAACAGAAAGAGACTTGAAATCTCTATACACTGGTAATCCTCTATTGCTGCCATAATCCAGAGTGACAAATGACTTGGAGTGACCTCAAATACAACCTGTAAAGCTGTGAGAGACACAGCAGAGGTAATGGAGGCTGAAACCATAAGCTCTGCAGGCAAAAATACCTGGCCGGTGATAATAAATGGGAGGAAACTGATTTCTATGACGTTTTGGTGTTAGGAGGTGACCTAGCTAAGCATATGCTAGTTTGAGAGTAAATCCCCAAACTTGATTCCAGGTTGTTGTTTTTTTTTTAGTTCTTCAAAGAGTTGCATCACAATGTTTTGCTGTATTCAAGAAGGTATTATGTAGTAGTTATATTTGCATAGGATGCTCAGTCACAGTAAATTAAGTGTCCAGGTAACATCTGTCTGGCGAAGTGTCCAGGGTGTCCCCTGCCTCTCACCCAATGACTGCTGGAGAAAGGCAAGAATGGGACCATCTGACAGGTAACTGAATAATGACCCTCCAGACTTCTTTTCAAATGTTTACATTTTTGTTTTTATGATCTCCATTTTTCTACTAGTCAATGGAGAGCTCCAAATTTCCACCAGGTTTAGAAAAAGGTTACCAATTTTATTATTGGTAAAGTTGTCAAATGGTTCAAACTATTTGTGGTTTGATAAATGTTCTTCCACTTAAACCTCTTATTTTTAAAAATGTAACATCGCATTTAAGTGGTATTTTGGACCGATTACAGATGCTTGCTCAATGTTTTTTTGTTGGGGGTTTTCAGTTATGTATTAACTTGAATTAGTTGAACAGACTTAATTCACATTGATAAGATACATTTTTAAGCAAAACTTGAAACTGGCCGTTTCTGAATTGTGGCACAGTTGATAATAACATTGATATAAATATTTGTTTGAATAAACAGAAAGTATATGAAATAAGTTTTTCAGAATTCTTCAAAATCTCAAACATCTATAGTTGTAGACCTGAAAACA